GAGTTTGCTTATGACTTTACCTGACATCCGAGAAGCCGGTAAAGAAGCTGTTGTAACGCGGGTAATTGTCCTAATAGATCTTCACCAGACAACATCCTTGTTCTATGCGTCTACAAAAACCATTGAAATAAAGATTTCTATGGTAAAAGATTTCTGATAATGTGTTCTGTTTCTTGATGATGAGAAGTCAGGAGACAAACCTTGGAAGCTGCACCTGAAGCTTTTGGTAAACGCTCTGCCTCGATGTCATACTTTAAAACCCGATAACATTCAAGCCGCTCTTCAAGAAAGAGCGCGTATGTTCTAACCCAAGCAGAACAATCCCACGCTGCATCAAAAACATTCAAGATTCTAAGTGATATTTTTGTTTCAACAAGAACTGAACAAAATGCATATATATATATATATATATATATATATATATATATATATATATATAGATAGAGAATTAGTTTATTCACCAAGAGGACTTGTATCGTCTTTGAAGTTAGATATTCTGAGTATATGTCTTCTATGTGAGTAATTTAGAAGCTCTTCTCTGAATGTTGGATCACCTTCTCTTAATGTTCTGTGAATTACTATCAACACCTTCATTGCAACCTGTGTGAATGTCAAATTCAAAACAAATTCACTATATATCGAAAGAAAATGCGATTCGAAATTTCGGAAAATTAAGAAGAAAACTTACAACCCAATTGCGAGTTTTCGATAATCTTTTAGATAATGCATGAATGCAATAAGCTACATCTGCTCTTGGTTGTATCACAGATGTCGCCGAGAATATTTCTGCGTAAAAAATCATCGTTAAAATTCTTCGAATCATATATAATTTTCAGCGTTTGAATCGTCGAAATTTGGTAAGAAAAAAACAGAGAACGTACTACGAACATGACGTTCTTTTGGTGGAGATTCAACATGATTCGTTGCTTTGACGATCGCAATATCTAAATCCTATAACGATCCAAATAAAAAGACAAGCATCGATCGTTTAAACATAATCCGAATCTTGAATTTCAAGATTTACAAAATGGTGATTTACACAAATCAAGAATCTGACCTTGAATTCGCTGTTGACCTTAGCGAGACCAACGGTGGTTGTATCTTTGAGTGCTCCATAGGCTTTTCGAAAGCTCGTAAACGTTCCCATTGATCGTCACTTTTTTTGATAATTATTAATTAACGTTTGTGATCTGGAATTTGTGATGAAGAAAAAGATGTGGTAATGATGTGATTTGATCGAAGATGATAGAGAAAGAGAGAAGATTTGATGATGATTGATGATGTCTTGTTTTATGGTTGTGCAATAAACGGAAACACAACGATAACAGACTTGTGTTTTGTTTTTTCTTTTACAATAAGCTTCTTCTTCGTCGTCACCCTCAAAACGTGCGTAACAGAATACTAAAATGATCTGGATAATTTCCTTTTTCGTTTTTTTTTATAATAATAATAATAATAATAATAGATTCTTCTTTGGGTTATTTGACATAATTTTCGGGGAAATTGGCAAAGAACAATAAAGAGCATTGAATTTACAAATATTTTTAGAATTCACCATGTTATTTTATCGTGTGACAAGCTACATTATTTGTATTTCACATTTTTTTTACAATGCGATAAAAAAAACAGTATTTACGAAATTACCATTACTTGTGTTAAGTAAGGAGTAAGTGAGATTGCTTGCTAAAAAAACAAACACAAAATTGATAACCGAGTTCACGGCTTAACCGCTACATCTCGGGGGAGATCTCTTGCTCCAAAAGCTTCACTATATCAAAGAGGTTACACACACCACTTGATTTGTGATGTTGTTTTGGTTTACAGATTTTTCACACAAGAATAACAAGATCAAAGAACAACAAAGAACGCTTGTTTGGGAGATTAAACCAAAAAAAAAACTTGTTTGGGAAGCTCGTGTAATCTCTCTTCTCTAGAACTCTCTTTAGCTTGTCTTATCTCACCTACCACCACTACTTATCCCATAGAGAGATATATGTGTATGTGATGGGCCACTTTTGTTCTTCTTTCTCTTCATGCCATTATCGTCAGGCCCACTAAGGCCCAAATGTTGTGTATTGTCTCAAACCCACTAACAACTTGCCTCTCGGCCAAGGAGAGGAACATAATGTATCCATCAACTAAATGGCGACTTAGCGTGTACTACTCCCTCGGTGATGAGGAAAGCTCTAGTCTCCGATCCCTACATGTACATATTTGTCGAAACGCATAGCTTGGGTGGATCCACCATCATCCACCTCACCTCACCACAACGTTAATTTGTGACTTCATCTTTTATTTATGCATTTTAAAGTTTTATATGATTTACTTGCAAATCTTATTTACATATAGTAGCTCGGATACTCTCCTGGAAACATGATTTGGACCAAGTTTCTATTAATCCAATGCCTACTCTTTGCAATCTATCTATGTTTGATAATTGGACTATAAAATTTATGATTAGTACACGTTTAAGGGAAGATCATATGGATCCTTTTTTGGTTTGCTTTGCTTCTAACTACTCGTCTCTTAAATTGTGTGTTTATCTATTCAATTATTATTTTAAAACGTATCTCATCCATCTCTTATTTTGTTCGGTAGAATCAACTATGGGGAGCTTTGACCATGAATAGAATCGGATTCAAGAGCCTACCTAATCACACGCTTTACTTTTTTTGTTTTTTTGGACAAAAATCACACGCTTTACAATAATGGAAACACCAAGACTAACATTTTTAAACCTTTTCTAAAATTTGAGCTTTTATATCAACAACTCAACAAGTATATATAGTATTGCTTGTGTTTTCATCTCATATGTATCACTAGATTTTGATATATAAATTGATAAATAAATATTATCAACTCGAATTAATTTAAACACCGAACAAAGTTTAGGAGATGTCATTATCACGTTGACTGATAAGTTGCTAACTTATCATTAAATTGACCTTCGTAATAGTTTTTTCTTTTGTAGTAAGCCATCGGAATTATTTAAAGCCATAATATACTTATTCAATTTTAAAGGTCATCAACAAAGCTTTGTTTTTTTTTTCTTTTTCACTCATACTAATCTTCATAATCTAAAGAGAATATTTTTGGTATTGAAAACACCAACTTAGCATATAAAAAAAAGATACTAGAGACGGACACATTTTGTACAGAATGCCCTTCGAGAAGTATCCCGGTCATGGGATGGTCATAGCTGCTGGTGCAATTGAGAATGGATATAAAGTTTTGGAGTGCCAGGATTCGTTTGGACTACAATGGGGAGATCAAGGACCCTCCTTAGATACAAAGCTAAGTAAGATGATGAGCGCTCAATTTCTCCGTGAAGAAGACATTGAGACTTTTGCAACCAATACGATTCGTTTAGCCAGGAGAGTCTCTGTGTCAGTGATGATCAAGCTCCCTCCCAGTTACCAGGAGTGGAATTTTGCTACACAAGTAAGAAATTTAAACTAATGTTTTTCTAGTACTCCATATACACTTATTTTCTTTGTTTTATTAACTTGGAAACAATTTTTTTTCCAGGGAACATATATATCCTCTGTAACTGATTTGTGCAGAATGCCCTTCGAGAAGGATCCCAGCCATGGGCTGGTCATAACTGCTGGTGCAATTGAGAATGGATTGGAAGTCTTAGAGTGCCAGGATTCATTTGGACTACAGTGGGGAGCTCAAAGATTCATCAAGATAGCGTTTTACAAGTACCTGATTAAAGAAGTCTTTGAATTCACGGTAGATTTATTTTATGTATTTATTTCATGTACTTGATTTTATATTGAAACAAATTAACTAAGTTACATTTCTTTCTGTTAACAGGTTTGAGGTCATATTTGAGGCAAATGTTATAACTTGTTCTAATCATTCCCTTTTTCTTCTTTTTACATTAAAAAATGGATTGTGAATTTATTAGTTTTATATTGATCAGATCTCATCCTCTGATACTTTTTTAAATATTTTCGTTTTATTTTGCATCTATCTATTGATTAAAACATTCCCAATTTTTATTCCATCTTTTAAATATTTTAAAAACAGAGCCGAATATTTGAACCAAAAGAAAACAGAGTCGAATAAAAAAAAAGTGTCCACTTTCTCAAGTCCAAAACAGACCATTTTGCAATTAATACTTAGCATATAAATATTTTGGTCAACATAATAGCTCAAGAAAATTAAGAGAATAAAAAAAAAAAAACTCTAATTTCTTTCTCTCTCTCTCTCTGTTTTCTTCTCCGATCCTTTAATCTTTCTGAGACAAAGATGGGAAACGGAAACTCAAGGGAGGCTAAAGAATCGAGACGGTCAAAGCTACGACAGAAGCTACAAAAGTTTCGCATTCACCGTCGTCATCTTCGTTGTTCTCGAAACTCAGCAGGAATGGTGATACAACGAGCTGTGTCCGCCGAGGATTTCTCCGGCATTGCGCTTCTCACTCTCATTGGCGTACGTCTTACGGTTCTTTTTTTAAGGCGTTTTTACGTTTCGATGCTTAGTTAGTGAATAGTGATGTGATGTTTTAGTCTTGTTTCTTCAGGCGGATATGAAGTTTAAGGACAAGTGGCTCGCCTGTGTTTCTTTCGGTGAACAGACTTTTAGAACTGAAATCTCAGATACGTAAGTCTCCCAAATTTTCTTAGCGTTCGAATATTTTTGTCATTGCTTTACTCGTAAAGTTCAAGGACTAATGATAACAGTTTTGTTTATGATGAATTTGCAGTACAGAGAAGCCAATTTGGAACTCGGTAAGTGGATCAAAACCATGTCTTTTAAATACTTTGATTCTGTTTCTACACTTCTGCTAATTAGTAATTACAGTTAGTGTTTCTCTGTATATAGGAGAAGAAGCTTTTGTTGGAGAAAAATGGACCAAGTCTTGCTAGGGTCTCTGTATTTGAGGTTTCTATTATCCATATTTTTGAGTTTAGTCGTGAAGCATGATATTTTATTTTTTGGATTAATAGTCAGCTTAAAGGATCATCCTTTTATTTGTCCAGACAAATAGGCTCTCAAGGAACAAAATCATCGGTTATTGTGAGCTTGATATATTCGATTTTGCAGTGCAGGTCAGTTGTTCAACATTTGTATATGTTTATATAAATTCTTGTTTTAATGTAAGATTATCTCAAGATTATTGTCTCTCTGCTTATTTGCTTTCTTCGGCGTGATACAGGAACCTGAGTCGGCATGTAAGTCATTTGACTTGTTAGATCCCACAGCATCCAATGTTGTTGGCACCATTTTCCTTTCTTGCGCTATTGAGGTACACACGAGGATAAACTCTGAGAAAATAAAGGAGCAATGGTGTCTGATCTTTGGTTAATATTTGTAGGATCCTGTTGAAACCGAGCGGCGGTTTGCAAAGCGTATCTTGTCCATAGTGGTATGCTTTACTTTACCTTAAATCTTCCTCACTTCAATGTTTCTTTCTTCTCTTGAACAAAATTTTGTAGCAATATTAGAATGATAGTTAAAGTTCTTTTGACAAAGTGCAGGACTACAATGA